TCTGGCGACAATTATCGACAAATTCGTCGGCGACTATTTTTATTGTCGATTTTTGTCGACAATGTCGAACAATCGTTGCACCCCTAACTGGCAATATACACTATCCATTATCTATACCGCTTTATCCATTTGGGTCTTACCAAAAATATTGAGACACCCCTCCAAATCACTGAATTCAGGTGTCCCAATATTTTTGGTAATATAGTAGATCTAACCATTTTGACTGTCATGCTTAATACTTTTCTTTTTGGTGTCACTGAGGAACAATTTTACATTGCGTTATGATATGGATGACATGTAGCGTGGATCTGCACATTGATGTGACAGGTGATTAATCGTAATGCACGTAGAGCCGCAGAGCGATGTAATGTATGTGTATGGCTGATACCCAGTAAAAATCTGCGTTACCTGAACATTGGTATTTTATATAGTGATTATCATGTTGTGAAAGTGCACAAAAACAACACCGATGAGTATAGATAATGGATAGTGTATATTGCCCATTGATGTGACAGGTGAAAACTTCGATCGCGTTGCGGAACCTGAAAATATTAACCTATTTCAAAGATATTTTGCACGTTTAATAACGAGGTCCAGTGACAACTTTTCCGCACTATTGGAAATTGCTATTGGAAATTTTGTTTTTTTTTCACCCCACCCTAATGTGCAGACTTCTACGACAGAAAACACTTTCAGCTTATGTGGCATGCGATCAAGCATCAGCCAAAGAGCAGACTGAAAAGCTCTAAAATTGTCTCGGTAAACAATACCCAATTTTCAAAATCTAACAGTTCTAGGTCTTGCATTTGAAATTTGTGATTCTAGTACAATAATCATAACTGATGACTTAGTACGAATTAGACCACAAATACCCACTGCTCCATAACTTTATAGTAAAGACTACATAACAAGTCACACACGGAGCTACAGGATCAAGCAGCCGCCGCATGGTTCTTTCTTTCCATCCCATTCTTCAGTGGCCTTCACCATCTTTAGCTAGCTAAAACATCCTTGATACTGGTCCCCTAAACAGGTGATAGTTAGCTTATCGCCAGACAACATTTAACACTATAAATTCTATTATGTACAATCAAGATAGAAACCAAATAAGATCGATGCAACTCAGTGTGCTAAACCGCACTTTCTAGCGAAGGGAATGATAGGAAGCAAGCTAGAGTTTCTAGCCATAGCAATAATAAAGTAAGATAGAGTATTTAAACTACATTTTAAAGCATATATAACTATCTAACACAATCTATTTATTTTAATAAAATCATATACCTACACAATTAAGTAAAGGCTTAATATACTGAAACTATTGATTCAACAATATCATTGTTTCTCGCAAAATACAAGAGCTAACGTCGGGATAACAACTGCCACAATGTGGGTTATAACACGAAATACCAATGTTCAACATCTGATGTTGTACACAATAATTATATATACATTATATGAAACCTCGTGTAATACTCACGTTGAAATTTCCAGAGGACAGTAGTGCAATATCGGCAATGGGACAACCTAACTGCCCGCCTTAGATCCGCCTACCATGTTTAAAGAAACGCTATTAGATTGGCTAATTTAGGCTGCGTACGTCCTCCGATTCGTTTAAATTATGACTAATGCTCATGCGGGCAAGGAGGCGCATGCGCCAGTACGCTTTGACCTCGCTTCTAAAGCAATACATCCAATCCGCAATCGAAAGGGAGCTTGGAAAAGGTCCCTTCAATCTGAGAGGTTTATTTGATTTTTCTGTTATGATAAATTAAGCTGCTATACTGGTATTAAAGTTAAAACGGTATAGCTATATGTATAAAGGTAATACAATCTTTCACTATATATGGAGGTTTTTTGACAATATTCAATAAATAAATGCCATTTAGATGAATATTTAAATTATAATTGAAATTGTCATTTAAACAATTATTCATCACTAGGTTATTTAGCGTGTAGCTCAGTGGGCTAAGCCTCTGTGCTTGTGATTGGAGAGTTTCACGTTCAAGCCCAGCACCTCTGCGGGTCTTTGAGCAAGGCCATCCCCAGCTTCCTGTGTGCTGCGATAGGTGGCTACCCTTCGCCGCCAGGTTACTCTCACATACAGAGAGCAAGTTGGGGGAGGCGTAAAGAGACTTTCCCAACGGGGACCAATAAACTATTAATTGTTATTTAAATAATTATTTAAACATTAATTTAAATTGCTATTTAAATGATACTAGCAACTATGAAAATGATCCATCAGTCACCCTTCAAATTCAGTGGGCGAGCTATAAACAAAACCTAACATCTGATTGGTTACATTGCAAACTACACAAAAGGTCGACTTTATTCTCATTTATAACCCTGTTTTGTCTGTTCCGCTGTTGGGCTGTACACGTCTTCTCAAAATCCCAAATAAGCTCTCCCGGTGTAGCGATCTCGGAAGTTCAGTAACTCTTAACCAGAAAAATATATATCAAGACTTCTCAAGCACTTAACGCCTTCCTCAACTGAAAATAGGTTACTTCGAAATGTGAGATATTCAAACGCGACTGCAGTCGGTTACATTTCATAATATATACGAAATAAAACACACACACAAAATCAAACTGCTGAATTCATATTCTTTTAATTACGTTCAACAATTCCCTGCTTAGTAATAACATTTCTTCGGAAATGCAGATTAGGATGGAGAAAGAGGTAACGAATGTTGCTTGAAGGGTGTCTCCGTATGTCTATGGAAGATTGTGGTTCAAACATGAATTTATACAATCATGGAGTAAACAATAACTAACCTCAGAAAAATATTACTTTTCCCATTGACTACCTCTCTGTATTTGAGCTGCATGAGTTAAGAAGGTAAGGTACAGTGGCAACGTAAAATGCACAGTCACGATTTGTACATTACCATGTGCCACTGTAACAAAAAGAGAACCAGGGACATTTAAAAAGAAGAAGAAAAAATATGTGGCAGTGTATATGTGTGCGTACTCCGAAAAATACGATAAAATGCATCCTTCCAGACACCCAGAGAGATGTCATGTATGTATTTAAATATACTCAAACGAAGACAGTTACTATATTGAGTTGCTTTTAAATCAACAATGCATCCCTTTCCCCCTTTTGATTTAACAATTTAATACGGTATTTTCGCTTCTGATAAACTTGTCCTTAAGGCCTGTCCTAAACTTCTTTGCACGCTAAACTTCTCTATGCATCAGCTTTACTTGAAATGCTACATAATTCGAAGTTCTGGAGTGATGGTCAATTTTCCTTGAATCCGTTTGTTTCCTAATAGTTATCCTTAATTATTCATTATGCTTTGTAGCTGCCAAAATAGTGCAAGTGCTCCTATTACAGATGCTACAGATAATTTCATATTGAAACTGCTCTGGCGAATATAACCATTTAGACTGCCAAATAGCTGTGCGGACATACTCATACATAGTTTCAAGATCCATCCACTCAGGCCAACACACTCACATTATCAGTATTACAGCTATTTTTAGTTTCCATTTGATCCCTAAAACCAAAGCAAAAATAACGCGAAATCGCCACTGTTCCACGCTACTTAAAGTTGGATATATACATTATGTACCTAATATTAATCTCAAGGTCCACTTTTTTCCCCTTTTATCTTGGACTTCGCATTTAAATGTACTTAACACTATTTTGGAAGGAAGTCAACACTTCTAAAATCTGGGGTCACATAGGTGAAAATTAACCGAACAAGCATTTCAAAACCATACAAAACTGCATGCATTTCAATTAAAGCCCTATACCTAAGGTTTCAAATGGGTCAAATACATTTTACAATCATAGGGTGGACATTTTAACATCTGACTAAAATCTCAACCACAATATTAATCATATGTATAACAGCATAATATTTAGGATTAAGTTCACTGACAACTCAATTTTCCCTTTTCAACCCAACATTCCTCAAACAAATAAAAACAGCTGCCTAGGATTAAAATGTTATAACTTTAACATGAAAATATTTTTTCCTCAGATGCCATAAATCAATTTACATTGTGAAAAAATATGTAGAAAACAAGTACTTTCATGCTAGAAAACTGACCAAAAAAACATTTAAAAGTGTGCCAAAGATTTTTGCTCCATAGAAATTTTAATCTATGTATTGGGTATTCGGATGTAATGGTACTGGTGGTATGCATGACACTCCCTGGAACAAAATTATATATAAGAAATAAGCTTCGGCAGTGCTTTAACTTACTCTCAAATATATAAATCCTTTTATCAAAGTTTCCAATGTGCAATACTTTACAGGCACCATTTTCTACAATTTCAACCACACACAGAAATGAACTGAAGGGGGGCGATGGGGGGAAGAGAAGGACAAAACAAAACAGGTTTGGAGTATGAGGGAGACTTTATTTTGCGCCTGGGGGGTATGACAAGACCTGGCAGGAACATTTGGAGCAAAAAGCTTTGGCTTATCTGCCCGTTACATTTTCCAGTTAAACAAGCTGCACTTCCACGTGACAAGGTAAACTAAAAATAACACAGGAAGAAAAAGTCCAACTGTCTCCATCTTGAGGTCACAAAAAGAAAAAAACACTACTGGTCCACGACGACAATTTGATAGCTACTGTCCCCAAAATTCTCTGATCATTAAAAATATATNTTCATCTTGAGGTCACAAAAAGAAAAAAACACTACTGGTCCACGACGACAATTTGATAGCTACTGTCCCCAAAATTCTCTGATCATTAAAAATATATAGCACTGTAAACCGAACCAGCCATATTGGTTCCAGCGTCCAACATATCACTGTGAAAGGTGTAAATTTGTATGTTTCATGAAGCTTTGGAACACATGGCTTGCACCATATGCAGTCTGCTCACCTTGGTCTACAAACAAAATGAACAAGTGAAAAAGCCTTTGTGCTGATGTGTGTATGTTTATATTGCATAAAACACCTTCCATGACGCTTTCAGAGAAGAATGACAAGCCCACAATGCTTCATCCTAGAAAACAATCTTTTCATTATGACAAAAGTCTGGATAAAGTCTGTGGTTATAAGAAATTCAGAGCTGCCCAATAACTGTGATGAAGACGACGACTACACCTCTTCCACATCATCTCATTCTGCTACATGTTTGGGAGTTCTCTAGGTACCATATGCTCATCTTCCATACGGAAAGTGAAACCAGACTCAGGCAAATAGTATGCTGCACTATACTGATGCCACAAGTGGGAAGGATGCAAGCCAAGGCGATGTCGCCTCATGCCAAACTGCTAGGTTCTCTGTGAATGTGGAAGTGTCTACAGGAAGGATTAAGGCACTTAGTGTGTGTGTGTGTGTGTGTGTGTGTGTGTGAGTGTGAGCGTGCGTGTGAGTGCGTGTGCAAGACAAACTGCAAATCCTGAAAGCCAAATGAAGGGGATTCAGTGTTAATCTGGCCCGGAATGCAGCAGGGTTTTCTAAGCTTTTGGCAAAATCACTGACACATATCTAGCTGCCTTTCTTATTGGACATGTTTACATCACACTATTAGGGCGGGTCGGTTTATTTCACTTCTTAAAGCACAGCAATCGCACATACAGCCCACGCAGCTTTGGTTATGTATTGCAATAGTAAATTCCAATATGTGCTGATGGCACAGCAAAACAATGTGACCGCAGAGAGACTCTCTCCAGGAAGTTAACTTGGCTGGAAGGGAATGATGTTCACTTGGAGGGATTTTTTAGTTTGGACACAAAATAGCACAACAGACAATTCTGCTGGCAATTTGATCAGAATGAAAGGAAAGCTTTGACCAGTTGGGGGTGGTGGGACAAAAAAAAGAAAAAAAGTCTGATGTCTTTGTGCAGAAGCAGATTTTGTGCAAAAGCCAGGTATGTCCTATTCCCCTAGAAAAGGAAACAGAAATTAGTTAAAGCATTTAAAAAAATAAAAACTTTGTTGCATCAAACATTTTATTTTTATTTTTATAGTAAATGTCGGCAAATGAAGGAAATTTTTAAAAACTTTGAAAGCCGCCTCGTCATATTTTAGCAGAAAAAAATATTTAGTGCATGAGGAGCTAGAAGCTTCAGCTTGCAGAAGCAGTGAGCAATATTCAGCACTCAACGGAAGCAACATGCCACAGCAACATGCCATAGAAGGGCTGTCTCGTACCGGTGGGGCCATGCAGCTCTCAGGGTTTGTTGCCAGCCTCGCCAGCCCCTTCCTCTCCCTCGCGGTCTGGGTTGGCAGAGTGGAACTCAGCCACGTAGAGGCTTTTGTCGATGCTGCTGGGAATGGGCTTGATGTCAGTCACTAGCTGGTCCTCGATACTTTTCAGGTTGAAGCGGTCCTCGGATGTAATCAGGTTGATGGCGAGGCCCAGGTGACCAAATCTCCCTGAAGGAGGGCCACAATTAGTCACAAACAAGAAAGGTAAAGTCTTAAACTTTTGCACCATAGTCATTGTCAAAACTACAGTGATTTTATGACCTGACATTTCAAATGTCATATTATTAACACTTATGTATTACTTGTCTCATTAAATTGGTCGTACATATACACAGCACTGTCCAACTGCTATATGTTACATGTTGCTGTGTTGTTTGTATGCGCCAAATACTACGTAATGCATTATCAACTGGCATTGCTAACAATGGCTAACAAGGAACCTGGCTAGTATTGGTATTACTAAATGGGTTTCTGACTTGTTATACTGCAATATAGTTAACTCTGTTGTGACGGCATTCCCAGCTCTGACTTCCAACCTCCAAGGTCAACGGAACAAAGTCATTATTTCACCTTAGCCGAATGCTCCAGTAGTACAAAACTCAGAATTTCGATTAAAATTTAGGTGACTGAATGAACCAAGACTACAATAGGTACTTTCACATAGCAGAGCTGGTCCCTGGCCACAAATTCCTGGGCTGTCTCGACTGGGGACTGTCGAAGCTCCTAGCTACTTTTGTGGCACTTTCACACTGCGCAACAGGAACAGTTACTTTGATGCTAAATAAGTATGGAAGTTGTAAAATGCTCAGAGGTTAAGCTTCATACATAAAGTGAATGGGCTAAGCTTCTGTGCCTGTGATCAGACCATAACCGGTTCAAGCCCAGCCTTGGCTCATCTGCAGGCCCTTAACCTCCCGCTCCATTAGCGCCGCAACCGGTGGCCAGCCCCTTCTCATGAACAGAGAGCAAGTTGGGAGAGGTGTAAAGAGAATTTCCCAACCGGGATCAATGGTTTATCAATTAAAAACTACACCGACACTCCAAAACAATGGAGAATGAGCAAGTTGTTTTGTTATATTATTTGTTAATTACCGGGGGGGGGGGGGGTGATTGAGATCAAAACTGGGACACTGCCTTATATTTATATTTTATTCATATGATCTGTGACATGTTTATATTTCATTATTAAATCTGGCCATCAGATCGATCTCCAGAGAATAACAAACAATGTAACGTTATCCCATTAATAAGTACTGGCAAGTTTCACTGCTGGCACCAACAACATTACAGAAAAGTATAGGTTATGGATCGAATTTTCCAATGTAGAAATATGGAGACAAGCAAAAAATGTATTTGTTAAATGTAACTGAAGTACAATAATAATTCCATCTGATTAATGTTTGATCCACTAATTATATCACTTTTCCTGAGCTTCCATGTAACTTTCAAGTTAGCTGTGGTACTTGTGGTCAAACAATCAGCAAGCTATAGCTGCAAGTGCCTCCCCAGTACTATGTGTTTGAATGAAACCTAGTCTGGAGAAGGTACCAAAAAAAGGGTTCTGGAATTGCCTCCGAGGAACTACAATCGGGCCCAGCTCCTACAGTGAGAATGTGACAAAAGTTGCTAGTTCTGGAGAAAGTTTTTGGTTCCAGAAAAAAAGTTCTGTGGTATGACAGCACCCCTTAAATGTTAACACCTAAAATAAGACACAAGCAAAAAACCAGACTAGTTTATGTTCCCTGTTCAAAAAAAAACTGAAGGATCATAAAACAAGAAAATCTAACATGATCAAGAGAATAGAAATTAGACTGCTGTATCATTCTGACACAGGAGCTGCTGGAATACCACTATGCTTGACAGCCCCCCTGCAGCCACCTTACCTGATCTGCCAATACGATGAAGGTAAGTTTCAGCATTTTTTGGGAAGTCAAAATTGATGACAACATTCACAGCCTGGATGTCAATTCCTCTGGTGAAAAGATCTGGTTTGTGGAAAGACAGATAAAGCATAAATCCACTGCCATGACAGACTTCAAGTTACAGTTATATCAGAAAGAAAACAAGTCTGGCAGCAAAAAGCATTTCATCCCTTAACAGAAGTTATGTTCCAGTGATCCACTGCGGCTTCATGGCAAATGCAAATATGGGTAACATTTCTCTTTCTTTAGTCCAGCATACTGGTCAAATACTGCATGAACATTACATTTACACAATTTATATAACATATAAACCTTCATTTTAAATAATTTAATATAAATTAATATTAATATAAATTATAGCTTAAACCAAAGCCATTAAAATCTTTGTCAACATTCAACTGTGAACTGAGAAAGATGGCCAAGTGTGACTTTACATACAATTTGCAGCTACCACTAAAATTATGCCCGTGTAAAAGCAAAGTTATAATTACAACAGACTAAAATTACATTTTATTTTGGAGCTACACTGACAAACATGAGCCAACAAAAGTAACTAATAGGCAGAAAAAGCAACATGACACCCACCTGTGCAGACCAGGTTCCTGCACAGCCCATTTCTGAAGTCATGGAACACACGGTTCCTGTACTCCTGCAGATCCCATGGGGAGTACAGTCAGTCAGTCGGTCAATTGGTTCATTTGCCATTTGCACAAGTACAGGTAATTCCTATGCTTCTCTTCACCTACCCAATCATATTCTCCATGAGATACATAGACACATACAGTTGAGAGCAAGCTTGGGCTCACAGCACAGGGTCAGCCAGCATGCAGGACCCCTGGAGCTGGAGCTTAAGGGCTTTTCTCAAGGGCACGTGGCTACTCAAAACGGTCGACCTTGTAATCATAGGATTAGCCCACAGAGCCACTCACCGGTGAATTCTTATACCCACCACGCTCGCAGTCTGATGGCCGCAAAACTAACCTGCATCATCTTGGCATGGATGTAGAAGCAGGAGTAACCCAGCTGGGTGATCTTCTTGGCCAGCAGCTCCACTCTTTGAGTGGAGTTGCAGAAAATGATGGACTGGTTTATTTGCAGCTGTGGGGTGCAGAAGTCAGCAATTGTTAGAGGTGGATGAAAGCTGTATTCTAACTCCCAGTGTTTGAATTCCTGAGTAAAGGAGCCATAAATAATAACCTTATCAAGTATTGTTTGGTGTGAACATCAAGTAAGATGTTTGGTTTGAGTCGCATTGAAGCGCAGCAAAAATATATCAGAAATAGTACAAGCGACACCGTACATTCATAAGAGCCACTCAACTCTGCTCAGTTGGTAAGTAAACTAGGGCTGGGATGATTATTTGATGTAATCGATGTTGATTATAAAAATGCGTCAACATGGAATTTTACTGTCGACAAATTGTGTAAAACTATGTAAATGTTTTCTAACTGCAATGCAAGTGATAAGCTAAACATATTGTAAGGGAAAGTACTTTATCCCCTCGGGAGCAATTCATTTTAAGAATTGCACAAAAAAAGTCTGCTAATAACTGAACTTTACTGTACACCTAATGATCTCTTCGTCACTTAAGAGCTACAATATTTTATTTATTGGATCTGTGGCATGTTTTCTTTTACAATACAAAGTTATTCTGCTAATAAGCGGGCTAGTTGTTTCACTGCTCGCACTTAAAACTATATTAATTATATATTGAATTACGATATAGTTTTGTCTAATATTGCCGGGGCCAGCAGTGCTGCACTATTTTGTAAGACATGCACTGGCCAATCATGTAGCACTTCTCTCATAATTATTAATGAGACATTTCCTACCACCCTGCAAAAAGGAAATTTGCCGCTCCCCCCCCCCTCCCCAACGCATGAGGCAACATGGCTGCGTTTCAGCAGTTTTATATTTTCTGTTTGTTTATTCTGTCATGTAAGAGTGAGACAAATTATCGTTTACGACTACTCTTACACACTGTAGCCTAAATTGTTCCTTGCTCACTGAAGTAAGCTTAACTATAAGCTACCTTTGCTAGTGTTTGTTAACATGTTTCCCTAGTTATGAAATCATTCCATGTTTTAGCATCTATTTCAACATTAAAGTCAAATTGGAGTACTGAAATAAGTAAAGACTATTGCAGTGATTATTAACTTCAGTCTAACAGAAATCCTATTGAATTTCTTAAGATTTGCCTTTTTTGTTAATAATGCTCTAATATTTAAGAAATGTTTTCATAAATTGAAATGTTAATGAGAATTTCAGATTTGCCTGTGTGGGGGAGAGTGTGAATTGTTGTATTAAATGACTAACTTGAAAATAATTTATCAATAAATTTATCATCAGATCAATTGAAAAATTAGTTGTTAATTAGTTGAATAATCGAAATAATAATAATAATAATAACAACAGCTAGATTAATCATTTAAAGAATAATCGTTTGGGACAGCAATAAATAAAGTAAACTATTAAGGGAACAGCCCATTACACATTGCTTTCATTTACTTTTAAATGTCTGTTATTACAAAGCATAATGTATGGTACTGCAAAAAAATACTATATATGATATAAATAGGAAACTGTGTAGTGGTTAGGTAAAAGACCTCAATCATGTTGAAAATGGTACTTTTAAGAAACGTATATTTCTGATGTTTCTTTGATTAACCTGGAACAAACTCATTTTCCCCATAAGAAATAATGGAAATATCTTCCTGCTATTCATATTCAAGCTGTTTCCAGTAATAAATTCCAGCCAGATAATGGGGTATAAGTGTACAGGAGAACACGCAGGTATTCCTCACCCTGGAGAAGAGTGTGTTGAGACAGTGCACTTTCTGCCTCTCAGTCACATACGCATAGTACTGGGTGATGCCCTTCAGAGTCAGCTCATCCATCAGGTTAATCTCATAGGGTTTCTGCAGGTGCTTTGCCTACAGAGGAGTGGACAAACAGATGGACAAAGAGTTAAACAGACTACATAGGCCAGAATTCCCAGTAACAAAACATAGCCCATAATACTTCTCACTCACACAGAACATGTTATTCCTGTTCAGGCAAAAATGGGGGAATCGATAAGCTTTTCAGGAAAAGGGTGACAGAGTCAGATAGATTACTGATGCTTAACACAATTAGAGTTTAAAACAGAATCGGGGGCCGATTCCAAACCAGGAAGATTAGTACAAAATATAACACAGTGTTGTTACCATGAATTTCTGGACACTGATGGGAAAGGTCGCAGAGTACAGCAGGATCTGCCGGTTCTTGGACAAGAAGCCAATGATGTCCTCGATTAGTACCACAAAATCTTGCGACAGCAATTTGTCCGCCTAAAAAAAGGGTGTCGGTAGTCAGAAAACAAAGCCTATCCTGGCAGCATGCACACAAATCCCAGCATAAGAGATAATCTGTCCTGATTTTGGAGGACAAGTTTCCCCCCAGATGCCTGTATCATTAAATCTCACTCCCAACGCAATTTCTGCTCACAGCAGAAACATCTCTAGTAAGATGCTCACTGAGAATATGAAAGTATTTTTTCCCTGACATTTTTCCACTTATATAGGTCAATGGTTTCCTTTATGGTTTCCTACAACTTTCATGCCTGAAATTAAAACATCAAGAGACAGCACTAATGCATGGATGGAACTGCCCACTGCTCTCAGGATGCAAAACTGGAGATTCACACATGATTCATCCACTACTTTGAAAAGGCGTAACAGGTACATAAAAGTGCAGTTCTCTTAACCTGATATATTTGAATACTTCAAAATATGTCAGACATTTAAAAAGGTTAAATGTAGGGCTGGGAATCCATTAAGAATTAAAATGCACCATTTTCTGTGATCAATCTCTTAATTACACCTAATATTAAAACTTATAATCATATGTATTTATACATTGGATGGCCAAATTAATGTAGAATGTAGAACGCAGGTCATTTTCATAAACTCATTATCAAAATATATTGATTTTGGCTTATTTTTAAAATTAGTTTGAAGACAAACTGAAATTATACAATGTCATCGTTAAAACATTCAATTTTGCCTCAGGCAATTAGTTTTTTTTGTGTAAAAATATTTCATCAATCAACAAAATTAACAAAAGAAACTGAAGAAACATACAAATTGTTTATTGTGGGCTACCTTAAAAATTGAAAAATTTAAAAAGTTTATGTATTTTTGTGTTACTAATTTTTGGCTAGCTATGTGAGGAAAATCATCAAATCAGAGCAATAAATGACAATGAATATAACTAAAAAGGCTAGGTAATTGCTCTACACAAAAAACAAACCCTGTATTTCACCATCACAATTTTTATTCTGAAGAATTCTCAAGTTCATGAGAGTGACCCATATTTTAATATTTCTTCAATGATTTAACTTGTTATATACAGATAATTCTTTTCCAATAAAAACACTACAAGTACATGCTGAATTTTAGTGCTTTCAAAAAGGCCTGATGAACAGAATGTGATAGGACAGGACATTGTACTACAAATAGGGATGTTAAACTTTTTTTAAAATCACACACCTTGGCAATTAATAGAGTACACCAAAAGTTTGGACACACCAAGCTGCCTACAAAGGAGGGTGATAGAGTGTCGCATCAGATGGTTTTTGAGGAGTCTGACCAGACAGTTAAGGAAAAGCTGCAAATGAATGCTTAGCATATGGGGGACCTCCTTCGGGACAGCTGGAAAAGCATCCCAGGAAGCCACCTCACGAAACTGCCATAGAGGAGACAGTAGGGTCAGCCAGTCCTTGGAAAAATTGGGGTTCAAAGGCCCAATGGTGACATCACTCTGCCGACCCAGGGATTTGAACCGGCATATTTTCTGAGTACCCCTCCCAAACAAGTTAATAATAATAATTTTAAAAAAAACTTTAGTCAGTGCATAATAATTTTATAGTTGTTATTTGTTTATAATCGTTCTTAAATGTAGAGGATTGCACAAATTAGAGCTGGGCAATATGACCAAAAATTTATATCACGGTATTTTTCAAAGTTATATCGATTTCACGGTATACAATGGTATTTTATTTTATTTATTTTTTTTAACTATGACTGAGCGTTTACCACATTTTACAGGACACATTTTTGTTTTACGTTTTTGCATTGTTCCCACATTAACCGTATTATTTTATTAGCCATTGCGCCTATCCACTAACCTTAATGATAACTAGGGCTGCAACGTACAACTATTTTCATAGTCAAATAGTCATCGACTATTAAAACGATTAGTCGACTAATCTGATTATAAATTGCATAATTATAAAATGGCTCCTATTTAGCTACCAGCTTTTACATTTAGCATGAGGTTATTGTTCGACTTGAATGCCGCAAAAAACACATGTAAAATGGGAAAGAGCTGTCGTGGGATTGATTGTGCAAATAGATTTAACACGAAATAGAAGCTATCTTTTTAGAGATTTCTCAAAAACTAAATAAGTACGTATAGGACGTAGATTGGTCACACATGGCTGATACCCGATCTGTCAAATAGGTCTGGATTGGCGCCGATACCGATCCGAATTTCTGATACAATCTTTGTTATAATCAGGGCTGCATATAACTGGTACGCAAGTACACATTCACCTTTAAAAGCGATACGTGCGGCAATCCATTGCTGTGACAGTGCAAATGTGTACGTATTTTATGTGCATTTGCGCTGATATGACAAGAAATTATCATGCATTTTAACCTGTATATGCTAATTCCTACTTCATTTGCGGTATAGAGGTTAAGATGCACGGTAATTTCTTGTCATATCAGCTATTTATATAGCCTATGATTACAAATAAAAACTAATTTTAAAGCAGGCTGAAAAATCCCAAGATCCCGACCCAAAATACGGGAAATTTAGAGCAGCTTCCCACTGCCATTCCTCTGTTAACAGCAAGAAAACGGACTTCAAAACTGCTGTTATTTATTTATTTTTAATGAAGCATAAGCTCTCACAGCACTTGCGACATCGGAGCCACTCTCCTGAATCTTGAGCTTTGGAGTTTTGGCTTCTTTATCTATTTAAGCAAATGGGTTTTCTCCACTGTTTTCTGACCTTTGTTAGCTACTATTAGTGAATGAGACACACCACTGACTTCCAAACATAAATACGCTCTATTCCGATCTTTTTTGAAAATGTAAAATATACTACTACTAGCCTAATATTATGCCCTATTATTATTATTATTATTATTATTATTATTGGATACGCCAGGCAACAAGAAGCCCATGCCATTCACCCTTTTGCAGATCTCGTCTTTGTTTTGGGACATTAAAAGCCTTTGAGACTGATGTGGCACTAAATGCTGGGGAATTATTTTCTCCTTACTATGAAGTTTGGCATCTTAAACATGCGTCGGGAAATAGCTTGCAGCCTGTAGGCTACTCCGCAGCCGTCAATGTTTAAGTGAACTGCCAAAACCATGATGTTTATTTTTAGGAAGAATAATTAAATCGTAATTAAACAAAAGAAATACAGCCTTTCCAGCCTTCCCATTTTTTCCTTCGGATCTACATAAATCTCATTATTAACCTTTAGTGCACTCAGTTGACAGAAATCCGTCATAGCAACGGAAAACCTTAATCCATGTGTCCCAGACTTTAGAGCGTTTAATACAAGATGATGCCTGATTTGTGGCCGCCATTCTTCTACCTGTCGCTGAATGCTATTGCGCAAGAGCGAATCTCACCAGTGTGGTGTATTGGTGCAGTCTATTGGAAAGCGGTAGTATTGCACAGGTAGAAAGGAAGGAAAACGTGTCACTCCATTTAAAAATACATCTGACGACAATTATCGACAATCAAATTCGTCAGCGACTATTTTTATTGTTGATTTTTGTCGACAATGTTGAAAAATCGTTGCACCCCTAATGATAACATATGGCTAATGTGCTTAAAGATAAAAGGCTAATGTTAAGGTGTGCACCGGCCAAGTAAAAATTTTTGATAAGTGTTTAATATTTCAGTGTTGCTGGAAAATGAGCTTTAATATGCGTCGCCAAGTTTGACATGCTACTTGACTTCGTCGCCACAACTTTGTAGCACTGTTTGCATAGAGGCTTATCGACATCCTTAGCCTTTCCATGCTCGTCGGCAAAATACTTCTGAACGGCACTTTTGCGTTTTGTTTTTTTCACTAAAGCAGCTTGCGTAGGGCCTTCAACTGCAGCATATGCCATGTTTGCCCAACTCGGTATGTGTGTGTTAACCAGCGTGAATGCATTCAGCGGTTATTGAGAGGAGGGTAGGGGCTGCGCGAGTGTGTGCATGCACGTGCGCCTGCACTGCAGTGATGCTGTGTGAATTGTGGTGAAAGCTGCACTGTTGGTATCAATAATGGTGAAAATCAGATACTAATCGATATTAAAAATTAGTATCTGAGAATCGATTTTTTGACAACCCCAGTGTCTCATTATTTTCAACTCCAGCGTTGGCTATATCTTCAGTTTCTGATCTTTCGCGGTACATTTTTAGCGGTGCAGCAGTGAAAAAGGTCCCCCCCCTTAAACAGTTTCCAGCTGTGCCACTTTCCGAACGTTGTGCAGGCTATTTAAACCAGTATTGTGGCATAAGAAAAATTCATATCCTAACAATAATAAAAACCGGTTTTCGGTATGAACTGGTATACCGCCCAACACTAGTACAAATAAACTTCTATGGGCAGATGTATTCAAACTTGACTGGTACATAAACATCAAAGCACTAGGGGTGGCACGGTTCACAAAACCCACGGTTCGGTTTGTATCACGGTTTTAGGGTCACGGTTTTCGGTTCTGTACGGTTCTTGTTATTTTTTCTTTTAATCTTTAACACTCCAGAAATGTACTTCAGCATATGATATATAGCTTAATTATCCACAATTTAGGATACAGTATTAAAAAAGTTATATCATGTAATCATGCATAAACTGAATTTGACTTGACTTAAAGCAAACGTGAAAAAAATTGTATTAATTATATTGAATGTTCTTGAGTAATCGATAAAATCAGTTTCTGTGTATGTACAAGACAAGACATCAATCTGTAATAGTGCAAAATATGTCCAGTTGATATGTCTAGTATGATCATCTGGCAATAGCCTGTAGGTCTGTGTGGTCAGACACTGTGCAATAAACAGAATTTTTAGGAACATGGCAAATGTTCACATTGCAGCATGGAAGCAGGCTCACTGTTACAACGCTGACTGGGGAAGCAGAGGCGAGGAGACCTAGGATTGGGGGAATGCGGGGTTTAATGAGCAAAAGGAACACAGACGAGCGGTAAAGCAGAATTACAATATAATGACCGGACTGGAGAAAGAAACAGAAACGCGGACTAAATACAATGGAG